TGTGTGTGTGACCATCCTTTACTCCCCCTCCTAGCCTCTGACAGCACCCTGGCTGCACTTCCTCCAACAGACTTGTCTGTTCCTTTGGCCCTCTGTACTCTTCTCCAACACCTCTTTGTTTTCCCTGTTCATTATCCCAACGTATAAGGTGAGAAACTAAGAATACCACAGCTTGGGTCAGGCGCATCCTTTTTAACAAGGTTCTTCACAGATTTTCCCAGCAAATCAAGTCATTTGGTTTCCTGACTGCTGCCATCATGCATGTGTTGAATGTGGACACAGTAAAATAAAATCCGATGATCTTTTCTTCATCTACCATGAGGCTGCCTGTTGGTCCGGTGGTGAGAATTTTTGTTTTCTTGACGTTGAGATAAGGTGCCGTCCATGTTGAAGGAAGACTGTCATCGTTGATCTTCTTCAGCAAGTGCTTCAAGTCCTCACTTTCTGCAGTCCAGGTGTGTGATGCTCGGTAGAGAGTCCGCGGAAATGAGGCAGCATTCGGTGAGACGGTGAACAAAGCACTGTAACGAGGGACTCGAGCACGCGTTGGTCGTGAAGAGGCACAGGACGGGGCAGTGACACAGGAGAGAGCTGTGCTTTGGAGCTGCCCACGGGCCTGACCACTGCAGCAGCCAGCCCTCCACAGGTTCAGCCGTCCCCATCCAAGGGCAGAGCACCCAGGTGGGCTGAGTCCAGGCCACCGATGGACTCAAGGGCCTTGTCCATCACAAGCACTCGCTCCCAGTGCTGGCCAAAGCCTTGTGGCTCACGAGGGTCCCCTTCACCCACCAGCACTTGTCATCTTGTCTGCACTCGTGACCAGCAGCTGAGCTGGACGCCTCTGCTGCCAACACTGCATCCCAGGTCCAGCACCTGCCACTGAGTCCAGTGCACTGACCTCAGGCTAGATGGTGAATCTACAGGACATCGAGGCTAAGACACTGAGGAAGCTGCAGCCAAGTCCTCCTGAATCCACGCTACGGGGAGCACCTCCGCTGGGATCCCGAGGACAGATACCATGCCATGGACATGCAGAAAGCCTCAACTCAGCCCTACAACCCTGTTACCCAAGCAGCACACAACCCCCAAAGCTAAGGACTGGCTGAGAACTGACTGTGACCACAAGGCAGGGAGGACAGATGACTTCATGACCACGTGATGCTCACCAGTAACTCCTGATGGCTGAGGACACCACCGTGCAACTGACACCCCTGGGCCCGGCCTTGGCAGGGACATCTGACCAGAAGCCCAGACAAAGGTCACTGTGGGAGGTCAGGGGAGTTCACCCCATAGCAAAGGCCGGAAGGCTTCCCACCTACCAGCCCCATGTGCAGAGAGCAGGGGCTGCTGATCCAGCTTCCAGAGGGCCAGGTCATAGTGGTCCAGCAGGAAGTTCCCTCTCCACAAAATATCAATTACATAGCCATCTGATGGCTCCCAAATCCCACCAAGCAAATGGCCAACAGGACCTCAGAAAGCAGGACCTGGCAGGACCTGGCCAGGAGGTACAGCACATGAGACTGCACAGAATGAGGCCCCTAGGACCCACACTGGGACTGAGGGGGGCTTCTCAGCAGGGGGAGCGGGCAGGTGGGCAGCGCTGGGGGTTCTCTGTGGGCGGGTAGGCAACTCTGTGGGCGTCTCCGCCAGGTGGGCAGGTGGGCAGCTCTGTGGAGTCTCGGCAGGCAGACAGTTCTGTGGGGTTCTCTGTGGGTGGGCAGCTCTGTGGGAGTCTGGACAGGCAGTTCTGTGGGGTTCTCCATGGGCGGGCAGCTCTGTGGGAGTCTGGGCGGGCAGGCACGAGCTCTGTGGGGTGAGTCTGACTCATAATAGCGTCATATGTGCTCTGTCCATGCTCACAGTCCCTGCTTGCTCAAGTGCACGGTTATGGTCACTGTGTCAGTCCTCCTCCTTGTGAGTCGTCCTGTCCTACACGGACCCTCCATATTTCCCAGTATGGTGTCTTTTCCAAGGAGGAGACCCTCCTCACACACCCAAAGTGCAGAGACGAAGTCTTTCTGTCTCTACTTCTAAGGAGCATTCTGGCTGCACTTTCTCCAAGACAGATTTGTTTGTTCTTTTGGCAGCCCTGTGTATAATCAATATTTATCACCAACACCACAATCCAAAGGCGTCAGTCTATGAAGCAGCTTCTCTGAGATGAGAAGGCAAATGGCCCTGAAGAATCAGCTACTCTCCTGGCACCATCGCAACAGGGACACCAGACAACACATCCTCAGGACAGAGGCCACAGAGCAGGCCAAGTAGGCAGGAAGGGCTTGTGGAAGGTCAGGGCCACCTCAGGATGGCCAGGTCCACATGGCAGAGCTCAACCATGCTCACAGCCCTCACACATGTGGCTTTCCCAGGACAATACCTGGCTTCTTGCAGAGCTCACACCTGGAACCTGGTGCAGGCAGGGGCTGGCTTGTGTCCCCAGACAGAGACACTTAAGTTCCCAAACCCAGTACCTATGAAGATGGCCGTGTTTGATTATGTCCTATGAAAATGAGATCTGAGGTGGTGTTACATTAAACACATCAAGACCGAACTACCCTGGGAGGAGAAGGAGAAGGGAAGGAGGGAGGGAGAGGAGGAGGGGGGAGAGGAGGGGAAATGAGGGGGTGAAGAAGAGAGGAAGGAGGGAGGAAGAGGGAGATAGAGAGGGACAGAAGGAGGGAGGGAGGAGGGAGATAGGGTGGGAGGGTGAGAAGGGGAAGAGGAGAATGAAAAGAGGGGGTTGGGGAAGAGAGGAGAGAGAGAGGAAGAAAGGTATGGAGGGAAAGAGGGAGGGAGGAGGAAGAGGAAGGAGGAAAGGAGGAGGAGGAGGGAGAGAGGAAAAGAGGAAGGGAGGGAAGGAGGGAGAGAGAGGGAGAGGAAGGGGGAGGAAAGGAGGGAGATAGGGAGGAGGGAGGAAGAGGAGGGAGTTAGGGAGATAGGGAGGGAGGGAGGGGAGAGAGGAAGACGGAGAGCAGCTGCCCTCTGTGGCCTCTCCCAGCAGAGCTGGGTCCAGGGCTGGATTATCAGGAGTGGACGGCCAGAATTTTGTTACTGGTGGCCTGGCCATCTTTCCATGCCAGCAGAGCCCATGAACCACCACTGGTACCCAGGGCTTCAAGTATCAAAGGAAACCGGAGATGCAAATGAGCCAGTCAGCACACCTGGCATCTCAGGGACAGAGGTCTGAGCAAGGTCACTTTAAACTCAGGGCTCTGCACTTGCTGACAAGTCGCAGACCACGGTGACCCTCCCCCTGTGTGTCATGACCCCCGTGTGCCTGTGTGTCGTGACCCTCCCATGTGTCAGAGTGGAACCTGCCCCCCACCCCCGCAGGGTTCCAGAATCGGCCAGCAGGCTTTTCTTCCTGACACCTCAGACTGACCCACCCAGCCTTTCAACCACACTGCCCAGGACGCCCTGGGCTCAGTGTCAGCCCTCAGTCAGTGATGTTAGCAAAACATCAGGG